GGCCTCTCTACTGTCCACAGTTGACATGGTAAGATGAACTTGGTGCCTTGATGCTTGGGAATACACAGACCTCTTGCCTCCCAAGTAGAGAACAGAGGTAGGGAGCCATGGTGTAAACCACTCAAGACACCCTCTAGTCTACCCCAAGGACGTCTTTGTAGCTCACCTGTGGTAATGTCAAGCTCCCAGGGGCTAAAGCAGTATGTCTCAAATGTGGTCCACAAATGACCTATGTTCATATCGCTGAGCAGCTGGATAAACATGCTGACTCTGAGTCTCACACAAAACCTATTTAATAAATGAGAATCTCTGGCAAGTAAGCTTGAGAAGCTGTACTGTTAACAAGCTCCCCAGGTGGTTCTTATGCACAGGAAGTTTGAGAACCAATGAGCTCTAGCTTCAACAACCACAACAAAAAATACTGTCTATAGAACTCCTTCAGGAAATTCACAGAGACCAAGGGAATCCATTGGTTAACATTCTGGGTCCTCAGATCTCCCTCTCTTTCCACTCCCATACTAGCGTGGCTTATGCAATTCAGTACAGACCCATTGACAATGACCATATATTCTGTATTACTATGATCCAAGTTAATCTGCTATTATTACAAAATTAAATGAGAAATACTTAAATACCAACTATATATTTGGAGATTCCTTAATACTATAAAAGCACAGGTTAGCTTCATGCTCAGACAGCTTGCAATTATTTGTCATATCACTTCCATTTTAAATTACTCCTACAGCATAACCAGGGAACACTTCTCAGTGGAGTTCTAAGCTTCTCATATCCTTTTTATGCTTTCATACACAGTTCATCAGTTGCCTCTCCAAGGGTGGATGACATTGTTAACCAATACATGGCAAAGAAGGCTCTAAAACAGCAAGACAATTTTATGCTTGACTCAGGTAATCATAGCTCTTTTCAGGGGGATCTGCTCTTCAGCCTCACCTCTCCTCTGTTTCTGCCATCCACAATTCCCCTGGAGGAAGTTAAGACTCTGATACACTCGATTACACTGTACTGATTTATAGTGCCAAACAGTCATTCACATAAGGGCTCTCCATGAACATTACTGGATTGTGCCAACTCAGGTGATTGATTCTGGACCTCTTAATGTGCCACCTATTTAAGGACATACTCGACATATCCAATTTATTTCAGCTCCTCAAACTAGCCTCCCTATCCTCACCTGGCACCTACTGTCTTTGAAAACAAGACTGCACTTAGAAGGACCAACTATAGGAGAAAATGAATTCTAAAAAGGAAAACAGGTGAAACATAAAGGTGAAAGTCTAGCACTTACACACAGTAAGGATAATCAGCATGAAAATGAGAGTATAGCTCTTCTTCATGATAGAAAATTTCCTTTTACCATCATCTAAACCAGTCTAGCTGCCGTCAAATCGATCCTAACTCATGGCGACCTCATGTGTGTCAGAGTAGACCTGTCTTCGTAAGTCTTTCACTGGCTGATTTTTCAAAAGTAGCTCACCAGGTCTTTCTTTTGAATCACTGAAACCAGTGCTTCTTAAACTTTAATGTACCTATGAGTCACTTGGAGAATCATTCTAAAATGTAAACTCTTATTTAGTGGAGCCCTGGTGGCACAGTGGTTAAAGGTTGTCAGTTGGAATCCACCAGTCACTACTTGGAAGCCCTATGGGGCAGTTCTACTCTATCTTACGGGGTCACTATGAGTCAGAATCGACTCAACAGCAACGGATTTGGCAACAGGTTTGGAGTAGGGTCCGAAACCTGAATTCCTATTTCTAACAAGCTCCCAGGTACTGCTGATGCTGCTGGTAGCTCTGCTTTTCACACTGTGGTAAGGGACCAGCAGCTCAGCATCGCCTGGGAGCTTATTAGACGTGTAGAACCTTAAACCTACCCTAGACCTACGGAAAGAGAATCTGCATTACAAGGTCCTCATGTGATTAGTATGCACATTTGCAAAATAAAAGACAGGAAGAAAGGCTTACCTAATAGTATATATATCCTGAATATTCTTCTCCCCACCTTGTCCTTCCTTAAGAGCTTGCATTTGTAATAATTTCACAATGGCTTTTATCAAGCCATGGGTATTCCTGTAAAGAAATATAACAAGGTGTTAAATATTATAGATGTAAAGTGAATATTCTAATCAGATGCTTAATCCTACCATTTTTAAATAATTGACAATTGTCACCCACACTGAACAGCAGCCACCCACATCCGCCAAGCTCACTCTATAGCACAGCCAGAAAGAGGTCTACAAGCAAACTTTCCCCATGCAACAAATTTAAAGGAGGAGAAGTGGAATCAAGCAATCAAACCATCAACCTATCAATCACTTCCCTACATATTCATCAGAAAAAAAACAAAAAATCAGTCCACATAATTGCAGGCTGTGACCACATCAGTTACCAGTACTGAATTATCAAGTCCTTCATTTATAAATATTAACAGTCCATGAAAAATAACCAGACATATGAAATGGATTAGCCACTCAGAAAAGTGGGTCATTCCCAGAGGCTATCTTTGCAAATACAGAGAGGAAGTCCTCCCAAAGCAAGGCCAATGCAGAAGAGGAAGAACCAAGATATTATGAGATGACTGCTGTCAGGTAAAGAATAATCTGGTCTTTTTCCTCAGTTCCTGATAGATAAATGTAAAGTCTTGGAATTCCTCAGTGATTTAAACATCTTTGTGAGACCTCCAGATCACACCTGAGAGTTTATACTCTAATAATTAGAGTTTATACTCTAATAAGGTGATTCAGGTCGGGGCTGGCCAGGCAAGAAAGACCAACAACTGATATCGGCTGACCTCAGGGGAGGTGGACTGATTCAATCAATCATACCTACATAATGAGACTCCAATAAATGCTCTGGACACAGAAGCTTCATGCGCTTCCTATTTGGTGAAAGACATTGATGGATGTGGCAGGGTAGCGCCATGATGTACTTGACCAGAGTGTTGTTAATGGAATGGTGGGTGGACTAGTGTAGCGCATCCCTTTTTGCAACATAGAACCTCTGATTTGGGAACACTCCCAGACCTTGCCCTATGTTTCTCTTCATTTTTATCCTTTTTCCTATAATAAAATTGTAACATAAAGTGCAGCAAAAAAAAAAAAAAAAAGTGGGTCATGGGACCAACAGAGCAAATAATCCCCATTAAAAGATAGTTAACTAGGAGTGGGGAATAGAACTTTAAATGTTTTCCTTATTCTTGGTAAGAGGTGGGAGGATAATACATCAAAAAGAAGAATGGTCTGCCCTTTTCAAGTAAGGATTTCTCTGGGAACTAGAAATCTTAGAAATAAAAAGGTTATTTGTATAATGAAAAAAATGTAATTATTTTTAAATCATAGTTGTTAATATTTATTGAGCATCTATTATGAGCTAAGTAGTTTTCTAAGTTCTTTACATACAGTACCTCATTTACTATTCAAGATCTAATAAGTTACAAATCACTGTTAACTTTATTCTTGAGAGAGGACAAGGCTTGGACTTAATGAGAAATCATTTGGGGTCTTTATGTAAGGTGTTATTAGTGTAGATTTTTATGGCATTTAAGGTTTTTCAACTGTCAGAAGGTTTGGCCACACAGTATAGCCATGCTATCTGATCCAGTAGCCAATAGCCACCTGTGGCTACTGAGCATTTGTAATGTGGCTAGTCCACACTGAGATGTATTGAAGCACAAAATACACACTGGATGTAAAAGATTTAGGACACAAAAAAGAATGTAACCCAACATGTATAATTTTTTATACTGATTACATATTGAAATAATATTTTTGATACAATGGGTTAAATAAAATATATTATTAAAATTAGCTTCAACTGTTTCTTTTTATTTTTTTAATGTGGCTACTAGAAAATTTTGAATTACATGTGTGGTTCACTTTTGTGGCTGGATTATATTTCTATTGCACAGCACTGCTGTACACACGCATGTGGTTTGGTTCCTGAGTGGATTCTTTGGTGAGCATTGAGGTTTCTCTTTGTGGCTAAAGCACTTACCACAGTCTTTACAACAATATGTTTTCTCTTTCATACAGATCCTCTCAAGACCATGCAGTTTAGACTCATGGATGAATCCTGTGACAGAGATCGCATGTGTATGGTTTCTCTCCTGTGTGGATCCTCTGCTGAACACAGTGGTCTCAGCACTGCATAAAGCCTTTCTCACAAGATTCTCTCCGCTGTGTGAGTTCTCTGATGGATGTCACAGTGAGATTCAGCTTTTCTCACATACCCTACATTGGCATTGTGTCATTTCCATGGTACTCTGACCAACAAGATGGTTGGTTAATCATATGATGACTCAATAAAAATAAATATATATTTTTTTAAAAACTGGAATGAACAGTAGCTCTCTTAAGAAAGTCTGATTGTATAGCTTCTCCTTGAGGCCCTCCTCAGGTTATAGAGGTTTTGCCTTGTTTATTTCCTTTGGGACTGCTCAGATTCTTCTGGGGATGTTTGCCACTGACATCCTTACTTTCTAGAATTCTCTTCCTCCGGAACTTAGGAAGAAGATATCTCAACAACCTTCCAAAAAAGGAACTTTTAAAATATATTCCTTCTTTGCAATTCTTCAAACCATTCACTTTTACAGAATCAGAACCTTTCTGTAGCTGATGATCCTAGACTTTAAGGAATGGTATCTTCCAGCATATCCTCCAGCACTTCGCAACACACACTTTACAAAGACCTGGAAATCTTTCAGCATGGACATCATAACTGCTCTATCACCAGTTTATCAAGAACCTGCTCCTAGGTGTGACCATCTGGTCTTACCCACAGGTGGCAGAGTTTACACTTTCCTGAACCTCAGTAGGATCTGACTCCTCCAAATACACCAATTCTCTAAAACTCACTAGGTCTCAAGGCTGTAATTT